CTATGCATGTGATGCACCAACATGCTAAGCACGTATATACATAAAATAAACAAAATTTTAAAGAAAGAAAGAAAAACTATATAGTCTAGTCCTAGAGTAGTAACTTTGGCCACAAAAGGGTAAATAAAATAGAGAAGCGATGACCGTGACAGTGTGGATACGAAGAGACACATTTATGAGATATTTACAAGGCTACATTAACAAATGTGAGGGGTCAAAAGAGAAATCAGGGACGGATTCGCAACAATCCGGTTTCAGGCTGGACCGTAGCTGAGTGGCAGAACACTACCCTAGCACGCAGTCCCCAGCAACCTGAGAAACAAACAAACGCAATACAGGGGGGGGCCAGGTTTGGGTTTTGTTTTAGGCATGGAAGAGGAGGCTGGATGTTAAATCTGAGAAGCCTTTTAGACACCCAGGTAGAAGTTGTTCCATTAGCAATCAAAGCAAGGATGCAGACAGAGTTGGGAGCCATTAGCATAACCACAACAGCCAATCAGGGGACAGAACGATATTGATGAAAGACAAGTCAAGTAGACCTGAAAAGGTCGAGTACAGAGCATCAATATGAAGAAGATAGGAAGGAAGTTTAAAAACTCACATCGAAGTAGCAGCCTCAAGTGTTACGAGAAAGATGGGAACTATGATTAACACTAAGCTGTATTTACATTACCCTTTTTGTTTATGTAAATTTCCTCCACTTTTTAGTAAACACTTATTTTTTTATAAGAAAATTTTTAATTTTTGAAAGGAGTGATATAATTTTCATCCATGTACTCTCCCGTGTATACATGTAAAAATGAGACAAAGCTGAATGATTTTCTGACCTCTCCCAAAGTCATTCATGATTCAACGTAACCGAATTATTAGTGTCTCTAACCAATGATTTTGTCTTCCAAACCATTTTTAAAGTGCCATCTCCAATGCTCCTGCAAACCATCTGGAACCACTTAACTTTGCCAGCCTGCTGCGCTGGCTCTCTCCCCTTGGGAAGCCTGTCCCAGCCGAGATGAGTAACGGAGAAAACAACTACTTTGAAAATGTGATACCATGCAGCTTTGCAATAAGACTTCAGCATATTTGTTTCTCACGGATTAAAACAAATCGATCCTTAGTACTGTATTATATAGTATCATTGTATTATACACAATACTGACTTATTAACCTACACAAGTAGCCTCATACTCTGACATTCAAATCGAATATAGTGTCAGTTATAATTTTTTTATTTGAGAATTAAAGGGTCAAGAGAAAGAAGCCAGGCGTGGAGGCATACCTTGAAATCCCAGTACTCGGGAGATGGAGACAGGAGCTCTTTCTCATTGGTGTGTATGTGTGTGTGTGTGGGGGGGGGGTTTATTGACATTTTTAAATTATTCTTTCAAAATGTTACATGTTTGTATATAGCAAAGTATACCTATGCACAAATTTTCCATTTTGAAGTTTAAAGGTAAAAATTTTATCTTAAATATTACTCTAAAAAAACTTTTTGGCCAGATGGTAGCCGACCCCTTTAAGTCTAGCACTTAGGAGACAGAGTCGAGTAGATCTCTGTAAGTTCCAAGCCAGCCTGCCTGGTCTACAGAGTGAGCTGCAGGACAGCCAAAGCTACATAGTGAAAAAAACCAAATCTCCCCGAAAAAGGATTTACTTTTATTTTATGTGTGTGATCTGGGATCAAAGGTGTGCACTACAACCACCGGACAATCTAGACAACTGTTTTTAAATCACTTCTGGGTTTACCAAGATTAGAAATGATAGATGTTCTTATTCTTAAAGTCGAGAGAACCAAATTATGGAGAAAAAATGTGTTACTATACCACACTTTTTAAAGTAACATTTCTGCCAGGCATGGGATTGCGCGCCTTTAGTCCCAGTAATTGGGAGGCAGAGACAGGCAGATCTCTGTGAGTTTGAGACCGGCCTGATCTACATAGTGAGTTCTAGGCCAGTCAGGGCTACACAGTGTCTCAAACAAAAAATGGTAGAACTGCAAACCAGACCTGATTGCCCAAGCCTGTAATCCTTGATCTGGAGAAGCTGAGGCAGCGAGATCCTACCTTTTGAGATCCTGTCTCAAAACAATAGTAACAAGAACAACAACAACAAAAAACAGGCAAATAGAAACTTTTTTTAAAAAATTTCTTTGTTGGAGACTCTCAATCCCTTTAGCAGCATATCTCAAATATTGACAGGAAAACACTAGACATATAAACTGGTATCAAATTCAGTGTTATTTTCTTTTTCTACAGTCTCAATCATCAAACTGGTTAACACAGTCCAAATTATCAAATTAGGGCTGGGGATATAGCTCAGTGGTAGAGCATTTGGTGAGCATGCATAAGGTCCTGGGTTCAATTTCCAAAACAGGCGGAAGGGAAAAAAAACTGAGAGAAGTTGGGGGAAAAAAAAACATGTATATATATATATATATATATATATATATATATATATATATATGTGTGTGTGTATATATAAATTTTTTGACACAGGGTTTCACTGTGTTGGGGAGCCCTGGCTGTCCTGGATCTCACTCTGTTGACTAGGTTGGCTTCTAACTCACAGAGATCACCTGCTTCTGCTGGGATTAAAGGTGTATGCCACCACCACCCAGCTGAGAAAATAAACATTTTTTAAGTCTTCATTAAGTATTTGTAGTCAGAATTCTAAGGACTGGAAATAAGACTCGGTGGTTAAGAGCACTTACTGCTCTTTCAGAGGACTGGAGTTGGGATCCCATCATCCACATGTAGGCAATTCACATCGGCCTATAATTCCACCTCCAGAAAATTCTAGACCTCTGGCCTGCACAGACATCTGCACTCGTGTATACATACCCATACACAAGCACATTTTTTTAAAAAAAGAATTATTTCCAAGTATTTCTTTAGACATTTAAGAAGGCAACATTCCAATTATGTCAAGGTGTTTTGAGATTCAGTGATTATGCTGGCAACTGTTGGGATCATTTGTACATTATTTTATTCCAAATCTGGACAGAGGCATAGTAGTCTCACCTGTAAAATGAAGTGCCTGAATAGAAAAATGACCTAACTCTATAGAGTCAGCTGGTCCTGATTCTTGTGACTAAGTCTTAAGCCTTTTTTATAAGAATTAAAACTAAGAATGTCATTACACATTTTGAAACTTTTAACCCACTGAAGACCTTAAAGATACTTTACATAAACAAGCCAGCCATTTTCTCTGCTAGCACTGGAACAAAAAGTCTGACCTTATATGAAGTCAGAGTATAAAATCTCCGATATAAGGGGAAATAATATTTTCTAACTTTAATTTTGCCAGTTTTATCTCAAATACAGGCTTCTGTTCTCCATTGGTGATCATCTTATCATTTTAATCATTTTTCTAATTTATATGTACATTAAAATTAATCTTGTTTCCTTTTCACATTTTAAAAAAACCACCCACATCTTACCATCTCATTTTGTACATCCCATTATGTACATCTCAATTTTAAAAGCCTTGAAATGTTCAGGACTGTACTACGTTAATGCAGGGTAGGGGAGCATTTTCTACTGCTTAAACTGTGTCCCTTCAATTCTGGAAGTGCATACGTAAAGGATAAAACTGTCCAAATAGTACTAGTCTGAGACAAATCCCTTCACTTTGGTAAACATTTCCACTATATTTTAAGTAGAAGCTCTAGTGTCTTTGAATAACATAGAAAAAATGGCATTCTGTAGGTCCTTTTCTTTGATAGTTTACAAAAGAAGAAATACTCTAAACCGTTAATGCTGTTTACCCCTGGGTGGTGGTATTACACGCCATTTTATTTTTGCATTTCCCCAAAACACATTATTCCCTTGGTAATTGAACATTATTTTAAAATTGATTAGCAGATGGTTTATAAAGTGTGGCATCCACATGGTCCAATTCTACAGATCTGCTCAGTGGCCTTTTCACTTTGAAAAGCGGCTGCTTTAACAGAAGAATGGTTTGATCAGGTGTCTACCAGGTCAGGCGACGACAAAACAGCTCCCCTTCTCCAGGCCCTTCTTTTAGGCTTTGGAGACATCCAGGAAGTGGGTTTGAACTTAGCTGCAGTGAATCTTGCAGTAGTAAACTTTTTGGGGTGGTCAGAGTAACACCTTTCATTACAACTATTAGCTGGATGGCGAAAGACACTCGGGCTTACCGGTGCTTGCAGAGGCATTATTTTGGAATAATTCCGTTTGGAAAGAAACGCAATTGCAAACCCTTTCTATTTCAAGCCCATAAAAAAGCAGAACTCAGATGAAAGGCAAAGCCTTGACCTTTCTATTTTAGACCTTCATCTGGGTAGCTAAGCCATCTGCTTTCCCCCCTACCTCCCACCCCATCTACTTAATGGACTGAAAATACTGCACTTAATTGCAATTTTATCGAAGCAGGCTGACTTTTCTACTTTAACGAATTACGACCGCGTCTTTTCACCTAAAGGCTTGCTTGGTGGGGGTTTTACTTGCCCTTCCTTCCCAATTCCTTCCCACCGTGTCTCTCAATTACGAGCTGTCAAATGTCTGTAAAGTATGGTACTAGGCTGTCGCGTAGGAAAGCCATCTACAGAGCTTTTCATTTCAACCGTGAGCACCTGACGGAAAATCTAGGGGTCTGGGCTCCTCTGGCCACCGGGACGGCTTTAGCTTTGTTGAGGTTACGCAGGAAGGCATCTCACAGTCTAGAAGGGAGTCGCGCGTCCCCGCCGCCCAACAAGGAAAGCAGCCCGGGAAAGGGCAGACAGACGAAGGTGGTGGGAGGAAACCCCAGGAAGAAGGGCGCTGGGAAGAATGGGGAGCGAGGGAAGACCTTCGCAGGAAGGAGCCAGGGAAGGGTGTGCGAAGTGGCCGGGAAGCTGGTCGAGAGAGCCGGGGGAGAGGGGCCGGGTGCAGGCGCGGGGACCCCGCCCGGGTGCCCCGCGGGGACGCGGGTGGCGGGGACGGGGACCCAGGCCGGCGACCCGGAGACGGCGGCCCACCCGCGGCCGAGCCCCGTTACTTAACTATTTGTAGAGCTGCTGCAGGCACAGGTCCAGGCTCTCGCCCTCCACCTCCTCTCGGGTGATGCGCTCCGACAGCGGCCGCGGGAGCGGGGGCAGCGGCGGCAGCTGGGGCTGCGGCGGCGGCGGCACGGCCGAGTGCCCCGGGGCCGCCGCTTCTTCCTCCACCTCCTCCTCCTCGCCCTCGGCCGCCGCCTCCTCCTCCACCGCCTCCTCTTCGGGCTCGGGGTCTTGGTCCTGCTCCCCCTCCTCGGCCACGGCTCCTGTCGCAGCGTCCTCCCCCGGTTCCTCCCCCGAAGCCTCGGCCGCCTCAGCCGCGACCAGCTCCGCTTCAGGCTCGGGCTCGGATTCGGGTTCGGGCTCTGGCTCGCCGCCGCCGCACGGTCCGCGGAACTCGCCCAGGAACAGCTCCAGGAAGCGCCGGTAAGTTTTCTCCTCAGGGATGCAGCCCGCCATCGTTGCTCATGCCCAGAGGTCCACCGGGAAGGGGGTGGCGGGTGAGCCCAGCAGGAGGAGGGGGCTGCTTCGGAGCCTCGCCTCCCGCTACGGAGGGGGAACGGCAGCACCGGCACCGGCGATCAGCACTGGGTTGCCTGGAGAGGGCTCCCGCAGGCGTGCGCGCCACCGAGCTCGGACGTGCGCGGCCCGGGGGCGGGGGCGGAGCGCGCCACCCCTCGCCGGTCTGGAGGGAAAGTTGGTGGCGGGCGCGCGCACGGGGTCCAGCGGCGGCCCACCCGCAATCCCTACCGAGAGCTCAGCCCACGCTGCCTAGAGACTGTCGTCATGGCAACCGGTTCTAATTAAGAATTCCAGGGTCTTTCCCGTCGAGTCGGTGGAGTGGTGAGGACACTGGACTCCCGCACTCCAACTTCGAATGGTCCTCCTTGGGTGAAGACCCTAGTTTCATGTCAGGAGTGAACTAAGGCATCTCTGCTGGTTCCACTAGGAGTGTATTGAATTGAGATTCCTTGCTTGCCTTGCCTTGGCATATCTGCTGATATGACAGCACTCAGTAAACACCTTTTACTGAGGATACACCTCGAAAAATTAGAGGTGGGGGCACAAGCACCTAAAAGGGTAGTCTCCTTCGCTTAGGTTCTTTCATTTGATTCTAAGTATCCCCGTTTCTCAAAAAGATGAATGTGAGGAATAAAATAGTAATTTACTCGCTTTAAAGTCCAGACTCTCCAGCAGTGGCGTTGGTGTTGGAACCCACATCTAAGTCTCGAAAGCGTTTAGAATCTTTTCCCTTAACTCTGCTCTATGGAAATTTATCTGTGCCTCGTGTCCACACAAAATCTTCTTTATATAGGGCTTTGCAGTTTACATGTGTTCATCTCTATAATCCCGACCACAGCCTGAAAGGATATTACCGTTATGATTCTGTTTTACAGATAAGGAAACAAGCCTTAAAAACAGTGACTTTGCTCAAGGTCAGAAGCAAGCAGTACAAGGGCTCAATCCATGGTTGAAATGGTAGATTTCACTTGTAAGTTTTCGGTCACGCTACACTCCCTCCTTAGCTTCTGTACAACGCACATCACACCCTGTCTTATCATCTCCAGTCTTGTCCCTCTTTTGTGTGTCCTTCCCCACCACCTCCTGTGTCTCTTTTTTTCTTTCTTGGCCTAAAACTGAAATGACTTTAAATTATTCTAATTTTCTTACCAAACCATACACAAACCTGTTATTTTCGAGCTCTGTGGTGACGGTGTTGGTGGCGGGCGCGCAGAGGACTTGCGTTACAGAGCTGTAAGGCTGATAACATCATTGCTACACACTGCCATGTCCATGGCAGCATATAATTCAGCACAAACATAGTGATTTCTTTCTCCACTCTGAAAAACATGTACTCACAAATTATCCACTCCATCCTCTCCATTTATTGTTTCTGGGTTTCAGCTGGATTTAGGATCTGAAATACCATTTCCAGTCAGTTATTAATGGCAGAAGAGGGTGTGTTCTCACCAACTGTTTTCCTATAATACGGTATTTTTAAATCCCTGACCTGATACTGTTATTTTAAGATTAAGTGGGTTGGACTTACTAATGGTATCATGTAAAATAGAGTTCTATGCTCTCTCCTAGGTCAAGATTAAGTAATACATGATAGAAAGTGTATAGTAAATAATGCACTTGGAGTTTTTTCTATTTTTTCCTAAGGTAAATGGAAAGACTCAATCAGTCTGTGTAAAGCAACTTCTCCATGGGATGCCAAGAGCCTTCAAACTGATTTCATTTTCAACCTACCTGTTCACTGCCATTTCAGAAAAATGAGAAAAAAAGCTGTGTGGTGGAACAAGCCCTTAATTCCAGCACTCTGGAGGCAGAGGTGGGTGGTAGGCTGAGTCCAAGTCCTGCTTGGACCACCTATCAAGTTCCAGATCATCCAGGGCTTTGTAATGAGACCTTGTCTAATAATAATAATTAATAAATAATAATGGGGAAAGATTGACAACTTTTTAGGCTGCAGCAACTTTAAGTATCCAATTTTACATTCCAACGAACTATTACTATCCCCAATTTTAACATGGTGACATTTAGTTCAGGAGTGCGTCGCTGTCAACGGTAACAATTCATGTCAAGCTACATCTTCTTCCTTCATAATGTAGTTAGTTGCCGCCTTCATTTAGATGACATTTGTGACATTATGACTCAACCCACACATCAAAGGGAAATGATATATGTTGGTAAAACATTACTTCTAGGAATAAAAGGAAAAACCCACACCTCTGTTACTGGAAATGAGAGGCGTCTTTGCTTGTATTAATAAAGACACTACTTTACAAAGATCAGTATGGAAGCTATTGCATTCCTTTAGCAAAGGAGCCCTGTCAGAGGCTGCTGACGGCAGCGCTGGGATCCCAAAGCAGCTGTGCAGGTGGTTTTGCCATTGTCCAGTCTTTAAGTCATTATTTCGAGACAGTTTGCTTCCCTTTCTCCCTGTATCTATTTATTTTTTGCTTAATAGAAAATGTAATGAGTCTTGACACATTCTTAGACTCTCAGAGTTGTTTCCTACATTCAGTTGGTTTTTCTCAGACCACCTGATATTCCTTCCTGGCTCTTAACACAGTTTGTACTTTATTTTTATCTTTGTGTTTATCTCATGATGTGCATCTTCTCTAGAAAATAAGACTATACTGCCATTGTACTTAAAAACAAATTTAGTTATTAGCACTTAATATGATTTTAGTATTTGCCGAAGTATGCAATAAATATTTCATTAAAAATTCAAGTTCTGGGCTGGAGTGATGGCTCAGAGGTTAAGAGCACTGACTGCTCTTCCAGAGGTCCTGAGTTCAATTCCCAGCAACTACATGGTGGCTCACAACCATCTGTAACAAGATCTGATGCCCTCTTCTGGCCTGCAGGCAAACATGCTGTATACATATAAATAAATAAATCTTTTAAAAAAAATTCAAGTTATGAAAAACCATAATGTATATAAAATATACAGTGAATTATTTTGAGATACTTTCCTTACAAAAAAATATGTTCTAACTCCTTATCTTGTTGAAGAAAATGTACATTGTCCTTTCATGAATTTTCATAGTAATGTTCATAAGGGTAAAAATGTTGAATTTAGTAGCTTCTTGTAGAACCCAGACATTTTCTCAAATATTTACCCAAGAGAAATAACTTGTCATAAACACAAACACATACATAAAAAGTTGTACATAAATGTTCACAGTTGTATTTATAACATTTCAGGCATGGGAGCAATATACAAATCTATGAACAGGAAAGATGGATCATTGTAGTATATTCATACAACAGAATACAACTTGTCAATAAAAAAACAGATGAACTAAGCTAAGCATGGTACATGCCTAGAATCTCAGCACTCAGCATAGAACAAGATTAAGAGTTGACTAGATGTGGTGGTGCACACCTTTAGTTCCAGCTCCAGAAAGGCAGACGTGGATGGATCTCAGTGAGTTAAAGGCCAGCATGGTCTACATAGCAAGTTCCAGGACAGCTAGGGATATATAGTGAGACCCTGTCTCAGAAAAAAAAAGGGGGGGGTTAGGGGGGGTTGAAGCCAAGCCTTGGTACATAGTGAAATAAAGGCCAGCCTGGGCTATATGAGATCTTCCTATGTCAAGACAAACAAATAAAAACAAAACAAAACCCACACATGTTGAGAGGACTGGAGATATGGCTCAGCATTTAAGAGTACTTGCTTCTCTTGTAGAGGACCTGGATTCAATTCAGAACATCCACAATGAGGCTCAAAACTGCCTGTTAACTCCAGTTCAAGGGGGTCCAATGTCCTCTTCTGGCCTCTTTGGGCACTGGGCATGTACTTGGTACATGCACATAGATGCAGGCAAACACATATACATATAATAAAAATAACATACTGAAAAACAAAAAGTATACAAAGACGGGCTGGAGAAATGCCTCAGCTGTTGAGAGCATTTATTACTCTTGCAGATGACATGAGCTTGATTCCCAGCACCTACAGGGCAGCTCACATCCTCTTATAACTCCAGCTCCAAGGAATTCAACACCCTCTTCTGGCTTCTGCAAATATGAGACATGCACATGGTGCATATACATGCCTGCAGACAAAACACTGATACACATAAAATAAAATATTTTCAGTTGCACCAAAGAATATGTATTATTTTATCCATATGGTATCCTAAAAAACAGGCAAGACTAAACCAGATGTGCTATGGTGGTACATGTCTATAACACCAACATTCAAGAGGCTGAGACAGGAGGATTGCAAGTTTAAGGTCAGTCTAGGCTACATAGAACATCTCAAGAAAAGCAATCAAATGAATGACAGAAAAGGCTTAACTGTGAGAAAGCAGGAAGGAGCTGGAGTGAATACTTTGAGTTCATTACGCATGTTCTCCATCTCTGAGTGTGGTGGCACACGCCTTTAATCTCAGCACTCGCATGGCAGAGGCAGGTGGATCTTGTCTATCATTTTGGTTCAAGCACAGCCAGAGTTAAAGTCTCAAAAAACAAAAATGTTGTTTTTTGTTTTTTACCTCTTTTGGGGGGCCTGCCACCCAGCTCCCAAATAAATCACATATGGAGGCTTATACTTAATGATAAATGGCTGGCCCTATTTTGGCTTAGTTTCTAGCCAGCTTTTCTTAACTTATTTTATCCCATCTATCTTTTGCCTCTTGGCTTTTTTATTCTCTTATTTTGGTAAATCTTATTCTGATTCCGTGGCTTGCTGTGTAGCTGGGTGGCTGGCCCCTGAAGTCCTCTTCCTCTGGCTCCTTCCTCTCTTTCCAGATTTCTCCTTTTATACATTCTCTCTGCCTGCCAGCCCCCGCCTGTCCTTTCTCCTGCCCAGCTATTGGCTGTTCGGTTCTTTATTAGTCCATCAGGTGTTTAGACAGACACGGTAACACAGCTTCACAGAGTTCAACATAATGCAACATAAACAAAAGTAACACACCTTAAAATAATATCCTACTACACAAAAATGTTCTCTATTTTAACTGGGTGGTTACATGAGTTAAGAAATTGTCAAACTATACATTAAAGATAATAGGGATGTAGCTCAGCAGTAGAGCACTTGCCTAGCATGTAAAAGGCTTAAATATGCATTAAAGTAAGTATATTGTACAAAAATGAAAGGTCAACAATGTTGGTTTTAAGGAGAACTGACTCGGTGTGGAGACTTGTCCTTTCTGCTAGCACAGGCACTCTTTCTCTCCTCGTTCCACTCCGCACGGCCGCAGAGCTGGCCTGTTTAGGCTGCATTCACCGGCCTTCAGTGACAACCACTTCTCAGCTGTCATTTGCCCAGTGGGAGGCACCGACAGGAAATCCTAAGTGAGGACAGCAAAAAGCCCCAGCATGTTCCTCTCCCTTGTCTCAGTCCTGAGCCTGCTGTATCTCCTTTGGGACTGTGCTCCCCTTAAATGTCCCCTGGACTTCAGGCTGTGGACAGTGATCTGAGCCTCTGGGCTCTGAAAACATCATCTTCTGTTTTTCCTTCAGCCTAAGGATGTGGCAGCTTCCAGAATCCTCATCTTTTAAAAACCAGAGAAAATATTTTTATAGGTTTTTTTTTGTTTTATCACTGTATAAATAATTTTCTGCATTTGTTTTAACTAAAATGATACAATAACAAAATCTTAAAACTATGAAAGGATTATATGGGACAGAATTTGAAGTGGATTAAGCTGAAATTACAGCAATTTTAGATCTGAAAGATTCTACTGGAAGAGTTTACTTGAAGTAAAGTTAGCAGTGGATTATTTCCTAAAATTAGAACAGATTATCACAAGTTCAGGGGGCAAAGGAAGCATGTAATATACAGGGCAAAGGGAGGCTTGAAAAACCACCTGAAATGACAGATGCATGTCAGGATTTCATATAATAGGCACAATAAGTTTGGACTTTGGCGAATACTACTAACATACCGGTGTTGGTTTATCAGGAATAGGCACAGGATGTCAGAAACGGGGGCGGGAATGGGGGGAAGAAAGCACACATGCTAACTCTATCCCAGCTTCCCTGTAGACTTAAAAACACTCCAAAGATACTCCATTAATTTAAAATCATAATTTTGCTATATGAATAACTAAGGCATGTAATTTTTAAAAATCTGTAACTTCTTATCTCCAGTTGATATGCTCTAAGTTATGGAAATCTAGAATATATGTCTGTCTTTTCTAAACTATGTCTATCTCATCTATTTATAAGGAAAATGGAAACACTGCTTTTAAAAACCTCTATTGTTATATTCCTAATTCCTAAAGTCAATGATTTGAACTAATATCACATATCAAATAATAAAATATGCCGTTTCAAAGTTGTTTTATATTTTTAAGGAAACAGCATAACAATAAGATATATTTAGTTCACATCCGATGTCCTACAAGTCAATGCTTATACAAATGCTTAAGGCTAGGCCTAATGATGAATGTTAAATAGGCAGGCCCATCTCTGAGTTCAAGGCCAGTCTGGTCTACAGAGCAAACTCCAGAACAGCCAGGGCTACACAGGGAAACCCTGTCTTGAAAAACAAAACAAATATGTATGTTGCGTTTTACTATTTTAAAAACTGAGTTTAGGGCTGAAGAGATGGCCTAGTAGATTAGAGCATTTGCTCTTCCAGGGGACCTGAGTTTAGTTCCCAGCACCAACTTCAGGCTGGTCATAACCTCCTGTAACTCCAGCTCCAGAAGATCTAATGCTCTCTCCTGATCTCTGAGGGCACCCACACATATGTGGCATATACATATATACTTTTAAAAATCTTTTAAAAGGCCAGGCATAGTGGCACGTCTTTAATCCCAGAACTCAGGAGGCAGAGACATCTCTGTGAGTCTACAGAGTGAGTTCTAGGACATCCAGAGCTTTGTAGAGAGACCTTGTCAATAAGTAAATAAAATAAATGAAATATTTTTAAAAATGAATCTACAAAATAAATACTATAAGCTATTAAAAGAGAATATCAAGCTATTTTTCTAGTTCTAACTCTGTCAAGAATGTTTTGGTTTTGGTGGTGGATAAATGCATAAAAGTGCATTCTATAGAGCTGAGTGGTGGTGGTGCATGCCTTTAATTCCAGCACTTGGGAGGCAGAAGCAGGTGGATTTCCAAGTTTTAGGCTAGCCTGTTCTACAGAGTGAGTTCCAGGATAGCCAGGGCTACCTGTCTTGAAAAACCAAAAGAATAAAAAAGTTAAAAAAAAAAATCCTATAGTGAAAATATAAAATCTAATGTTAAGCTCCAGTTTCCATTTTGAATGGCTACTCTAACTGTATAGAGAAGGCCACTAAGTTGTAAGTTTAGGGGTCTGGTTAATTTTAGCGTGTGAAGGGTTTTGTTTTTGTTTTGGGTTTTGGTTTTAGAGACAAGATTTCTCTGTATCCCTGGCTGTCCTGGAAGTAGATCTGTAGATAAGGCTGGCTTCAAACTCAGAGGTCTACCTACATCTGCTTCCCAAGTGCTGGGATTAAAGGTATAGGCCACCATCACCCATTGAAGTTTTTGTTTTTTAAATTGCAAATTTTTTAATATAATAAAGTTTAAAAATGTAAGTGAAGGATAATATGTAAATAACTCTTAAAATATTAATCTGTAGGACTGGAGAAATGGCTCAGGAGTTAAGGGCACTTGTGCCTCTTGCAGAGGACTTGAGTTTGATCTCCTAGCCCATGTCAAGAGGCTCACAACCACCTG